TTCATCCACTCAACCCTCCATATACACCTTTCACCCCAAAACCTCCATACCTGTTCACCCACTCACCCCTCCTACACACCTGTTCACCCCCCACCTCCCTACACACCTGTCACACCACTCACCCCTCCATACACACCTGTTCACTCCACTCACCCCTCCATACACACCTGTTCACCCACTCACCCTCCATACACACCTATTCACCCACTGAACCTTCCATACCTGTTCACCCCACTCACCCCTCCTACACACCTGTTCACCCGCTCACCCCTCCTATAACACCTGTTCACCCACTCTACCCTCATACACACTTGTTCACCCACTCACCCCTCCTACACACCTGTTCACCCGCTCACCCCTCCTATACACCTGTTCACCCACTCTACCCTCCATACACACCTGTTCAGCCATTCACCCCTCCTACACACCTGTTCACCCACTCAACCCTCCATACACACTGTTCCACCACCACCCCTCCTACCCCACCTGTTCACCACTCACCCTCCATACACACCTGTTCACACCACTCACCCCTCCATACACACCTGCTCACCCACTCACCCCTCCATACACACCCGTCCACCCACTCACCCTCCATACACACCTATTCACCCACTCACCCCTCCATACACACCTGTTCACCCACTCACCCCTCCATACACACCTGTTCACCCACTCACCCCTCCATACACACCTGTTCACCCACTCACCCTCCATACACACCTGTTCACCCACTCACCCTCCATACACACCTGTTCACTCCACTCACCCTCCATACACATCTGTTCACCCACTCATCCCTCCATAACACACCTGTTCACCCACTCATCCCTCCATACACACCTGTTCACCAATTCACCACTCCATACACACCTGTTCACCCACTCATCCTTCCATACACATCTGTTCACCCACTCACCATTCCATAAACACCTGTTCACCCACTCACCCTACCATACACACCTGTTCACCCACTCACCCCTCCATATACACCTTTTCCCACTCACCCCTCTATACACACCTGTTCACCCACTCACCCCTTTCCATACACACCTGTTCACCCACTCATCCCTCCATACACACCTGTTCACCCACTCATCCCTCCATACACACCTGTTCATCCACTCACCCCTCCATATACACCTGTTTACCCACTCACCCCTCTATACACACCTGTTCACCCACTCATCCATCCATACACACCTGTTCACCCACTCCTCCCTCCATACACACCTGCTCATCCACTCACCCCTCCATACACACCTGTTGACCCACTCACTCCCTCTACACACACCTGTTCACCCACTCATCCATCCATACACACCTGTTCACCCACTCACCCTCCATACACACCCGTTCACCCACTCACCCTCCATACACACCTATTCACCCACTCACCCCTCCATACACACCTGTTCACACCACTCACCCCTCCATACACACCTGTTCACCCACTAAACCCCCTCCATACACACTGTTCACCCACTCACCCCTCCATACACACCTGTTCACACCGCTCACCCTCCCCTACACACCTGGTCACCCACTCACCCCTCCATACACACCTGTTCACACCACTCATCCCTCCATACACACCTGTTCACACCACTCATCCCTCCATACACACCTGTTCACCATTTCACCACTCCATACACACACCTGTTCATCCACTCATCCTCCATACACATCTGTTCACACCACTCACCCCCTCCATACACACCTGTTCACCCACTCACCATTCCATACACACCTGTTCACCTACTCACCCTTCCATACACACCTGTTCATCCACTCACCCCTCCATACACACCTGTTCACCCACTCATCCCTCCATACACATCTGTTCACACACTCATCCATCCACACCTGTTTCACCCACTCATCCCCCCATACACACCTGTTCACCCACTCATCCCTCTATACCTGTTCACCCACTCACCACTCCACACACATCTGTTCACCCACTCACCCTCCATACACACCTGTTCACCCACTCACCACTCCATACACACCTGTTCATCCACTAAATCCTTCCATACACACCTGTTCACTCCACTCACCATCCATACACACCTGTTCACCCACTCACCCTCCATACACACCTGTTCACCCACTCATAGCTCCATACACACCTGTTCACCACCCACCATTCCAACACACCTTTCATCCACTCATCCTTCATACACATCTGTTCACCCACTCACCCCTCCATACACACCTGTTCACCCACTCACCCCTCCATACACACCTGTTCACCCACTCACCACTCCATACACACCTGTTCATCCACTCATCCTTCCATACACACTTGTTCACCCACTCACCACTCCATACACACCTGTTCATCCACTCACCCTTCCATACACACCTGTTCACCCACTCAACCCTCCATACACACCTGTTCACCCACTCAACCCTCCAGACCTGTTCACCCACTCACCCCTCCTACACACCTGTTAACCCACTCACCTCTCCCCTACACATCTGTTCACCCACTCAACCCTCCGTACACACCTGTTCACCCACTCAACCCTCCATACACACCTGTTCATACAGACAACATTCCACTGATGAACTACCAGAAGATGAATATGTTTAAGATGGTGAAGATGAGGCTGGAAGATGAGAGACAATGATTGTTATTGACGATGACTGCTACTGATGATGATTGTTGTTCTTAAATTTTGATGTTTGTTGATGCTGATAATAACTGTTGACGATAATGAGTGTTGATGTTGATGGTTGATGACTGACGATGATACAGGTTAGGCTGGAAATGGCAAGATGGAGAGAACTGAGAGTATGAAAATCGGAAGGAAAGAGGATAAGAAGAGGATGAGGAGGGGGATGGGGAAGGAGGTGGGGAGGAGGAGCAGAGGTAACAAGGTGGAGGCTGCAGTGAGGAGGGGGGGGAGTGCCATCATCCCTACACCTGTTCCTCCCACCTGTACCGTTACTGAGTCGTGTAACCTCCTCCCCCCTCCCTCCCATCCCTCGATCTCCTCCCTCCCTGTCTGTCTCATACACCCCCTTCCCCTCTTTTCCTGTCTCTGCTATCGTTTTCCTGCCTCTCGCCGCTCCCTCTTATTCCCGACTGTCCAAGCGCAACCTCCGTCCCAACGGATTTTCAACAGTAGTAACAGGTAGTGTTAACGATTCCTGAGCAGTAACAGGTCCAATATCAACGGTTCCTGGGCAGTAATACAGTATCAATGGTTCCTCAGCAATAACAGGTACAGTATCAAAAGTTTCTCAGCAGTAACAGATACAGTATCAACGGTTCCTCAGCAGTAACAGGTGCAGTATCAACGGTTCCTCAGCAGTAACAGGCACAGTATCAACGGTTCCTCAGCAGTAACAGGTACTGTATCAACGGTTCCTCAGCAGTAACGGGTCCAGTATCAACGGTTCCTCAGCAGTAACAGGTACAGTATCAACGGTTCCTCAGGAATAACCGGTCCAGTATCAACGGTTCCTGAGCAGCAATACTGTATCAACGGTTCCTCATCAGTAACAGGTCCAGTATCAACGGTTCCTCAGCAATAACAGGTCCAGTATCAACGGCGCCTCAGCAATAACAGGTCCAGTATCAACGGCGCCTCAGCAATAACAGGTACAGTATCAACGGTTCCTGAGCAGCAATACTGTATCAACGGTTCCTCATCAGTAACAGGTCCAGTATCAACGGTTCCTGGGCAGGAACAGGTACAGTATCAACGGTTCCTCAGCAGTAATACAGTATCAATGGTTCCTCAGCAATAACAAGTACAGTATCAACTGTTCCTTGGTAACAGGTACAGTATCAACGGTTCCTCAGCAGTAATACAGTATCAACGGTTCCTCAGCAATAACAGGTCCAGTATCAACGGTTCCTCAGCAATAACAGGTCCAGTATTAACGGTTCCTCAGCAATAACAGGTCCAGCATCAACGGTTCCTCAGCAATAACAGGTCCAGTATCAACGGTTCCTCAGCAATAACAGGTCCAGTATCAACGGTTCCTCAGCAATAACAGGTCCAGTATCAACGGTTCCTCAGCAATAACAGGTCCAGTATTAACGGTTCCTCAGCAATAACAGGTCCAGTATCAACGGTTCCTCAGCAATAACAGGTCCAGTATCAACGGTTCCTCAGCAGTAACAGGTCCAGCATCAACGGTTCCTCAGCAATAACAGGGCCAGTATCAACGTTTCCTCAGCAATAACAGGTCTCAGTATCACGTTCCTCGCAATAACAGTCCATATCAACGTTCTCACCCGTAACAGGTCCCAGCATCAACGTTCCTCAGCAATAACAGGTCCAGCATCAACGTTCCTCACAATAACAGTCCAGCATCAAAGGTTTCCTCACAGTAACAGGTCAGCATCAACGGTTCCTCAGCAGTAACAGGTCCAGCATCAACGGTTCCTCAGCAGTAACAGGTACAGTATCAACGGTTCCTGAGCAGCAGCAGGCACAGCAGGAGTAGCAGGGCCGCCACCCCCACTTCAAGCCTCGTCTCAGCCTCATCACTGTCACTTCGTCAATTTCCCAATGCTGTGCCCAACATCAACTCTTACAGATAAGAGATAAGATAAGATTTCGTTCGGATTTTTAACCCCGGAGGATTAGCCACCCAGGATAACCCAAGAAAGTCAGTGCGTCATCGAGGACTGTCTAACTTATTTCCATTGGGGTCCTTAATCTTGTCCCCCAGGATGCGAACCACACCAGTCGACTAACACCCAGGTACCTATTTGCTGCTAGTGAACAGACCCAAAAGTGTAAGGGAAAAGTGTCGAAATGTTCCCACCCCCGGAATCGAACCCGGCCCTCCGTGTGTGAAGCGGGAGCTTTGCCACCAGCCACCAGCAAACTTTGAAATACATTTTCTTTTATTGCCCGTTAACTAGGAAATGTAAACGTAACATTTTATTTTACAAAACAACGAAAAAAAAAACTACACTGATGCAGAAGAAAACCGGGAAACGTTTCCCGTCTCTCGTGGTTAAAGGTTTCATCCCGAGTGTCGAGGAAGCTCCAGGTCTGACCACCACCTCTGCTTCGCAAACAACTGTGTGACACCTGTGACTGATTACCAGTCTTTCTACCCTCGCAGCCCGGCCTTCAACTAGGCGACAAGTATGTTAATAACACAATATAAGGTTCATATATTTTATTGAAGCATGTTTCGTCCACCCGGGATTTTATGAATTCGGTTAATTTATAAAGTCTCCTGATGGACGAAACGTCGTTTCCGTAAAATGTCATAAACCGCATATATCTTGCTAACATCCAGGCCTTTCTGTTGTTTGCTTCTTCAACGACGCAGTAAGTCCTTCAGGATAGTACCTCAAGGAATGTCAGGCCCATCATAGATTTGCTAGAGTTAAACCCACACCTGATCAGTCACATCCACACCTGATCAGTCACATCCACACCTGATCAGTCACATCCACACCTGATCAGTCACATCCACACCTGATCAGTCACATCCACACCTGATCAGTCACATCCACACCTGATCAGTCACACCCACACCTGATCAGTCACGTGTGGAAACTCGAAAATGTCTAGGTGATTGCAACCAGTCAATAGTGTCAGGACAGAATACATTATGAGAAGAAACATGACTTGTAAACAAGGCTGCCCAACTTTTGAGGTATCTGTGGCCGAGTGGTCTAGAGCATCACTTAGGGAACCTTGGCAAACGCCCCTAACGTGGTTTCGATTCCTGCTGACTGCGATCTTTTCCTGTATATACCCGCCTGTTTCATGACCTTGGAGAGGAAGGAAATAGATGATTACCACATGCATTATAAAACAATAGGAAATAACAAAGTAGAGAGTGATACTGCTTGACACGCAAAAACCAGAGCCACGCGGACAATAGTGGAAGTTAAACACACACACACACACACGTCAGAGTGACGTTAGGAAGCGCATCTCTGCTCTGAGGTGGGAAGTGAAAGAAGTTTATAAGGAAGATTAGATGTTATCTGCGTACACACATTCAGTAGTATGTAACAAGTCAAAGAAACTAGAAGACAACGGTGATGTGCTACGTAGCTTAAGAGGCAGGGAGCTGTGATTCTGCCACATACACACAGACAGGGGAGGGCCAGGAGCTAGTTCTACTGGACACACAGATGGGGTCAGGAACTAAAGCTCCACTGAACACAGGCTGCGTCAAGAGTTCAAGCCCTACTGGACACAGACGAGATTAGGATCTCAAGCTCTATTAAAGTAAGTGCCAGATGATATATCCACACCAACACACATGCACACACATACCCCCCCCACACACACACACACAGATGACGTGAAGGTGATGAGAAGACCAGGCAGAACTACAAAGGGATCTGGACAGGCTGCAGACCTGGTCCAGCAATTGGCTCCTGGAGTTCAACCCCACCAAGTGCAAAGTCATGAAGATTGGGGAAGGGCAAAGAAGACCGCAGACGGAATACAGTCTAAGGGGCCAGAGACTACAAACCCCACTCAAGGAAAAAGATCTTGGGGTGAGTATAACACCAGGTACATCTCCTGAAGCGCACATCAACCAAATAACTGCTGCAGCATATGGGCGCCTAGCAAACCTCAGAACAGCATTGCGACATCTTAATAAGGAATCGTTCAGGACCCTGTACACCGTGTACGTTAGGCCCATATTGGAGTATGCGGCACCAGTTTGGAACCCACACCTAGCCAAGCACGTAAAGAAACTAGAGAAAGTGCAAAGGCTTGCAACAAGACTAGTCCTAGAGCTAAGAGTATGTCCTACGAGGAGAGGTTAAGGGAAATCAACCTGACGACACTGAGGACAGGAGAGATAGGGGGGACATGATAACGACATACAAAATACTGAAAGGAATTGACAAGGTGGACAAAGACAGGATGTTCCAGAGATGGGACACAGCAACAAGGGGACACAGTTGGAAGTTGAAGACACAGATGAATCACAGGGATGTTAGGAAGTATTTCTTCAGCCACAGAGTAGTCAGGAAGTGGAATAGTTTGGGAAGCGATGTAGTGGAGGCAGGATCCATACATAGCTTTAAGCAGAGGTATGATAAAGTTCACGGTTCAGGGAGAGTGACCTAGTAGCGACCAGTGAAGAGGCGGGGCCAGGAGCTTGGACTCGACCCCTGCAACCTCAATTAGGTGAGTACAACTAGGTGAGTACACACACACACACACACACACACACACACATACATATGCCAAAAAATCCATTTCTTCTGAGAAACAAATTACAAACATTACAATGGTGGTATCTACATATGGTGTGGGCGGAATGATAGAGGCGGTGATGGTGCAACTGACAACTAAGGTGGAAGAGAGTGGGTGGTGGTGGTGGTGGTGGTGGCGGTGATGGTGGTGGCGGTGATGGTGATAGTGGTGATGGTAGTAGCGCTGATCGCGACTGTAGTACCTTGTAGCTGTGAAAATGGCCGTGATAATGAAGGCTGGGACAAAAAAAAAAAGGAGAGTACTAGGAAAGGAATGTGTAGCCCAAAGGTTAGAGGTCAACCCTGTGTGGGTGACAAAATAAAACACCGACAACACCTGTCCTGCTGCACTCCCTTCCTGCAACCCGCCCTGGGTCGTCCCAGGTGTGTTATCAAGCAGTGGGTGGGAGAATGTAAGAGATAGCCAGGCAGGTGTTGTTTATCAAGGACACCAGCGGAGAGAACACCTCCAGTTATACAAGACGTTATTTTCACGCCTTGAATATATTACATGTTAATGTATTACGTGTCGATATAAAACACAAAAGGCAATACTGTACTGGTCTTCCCTCGAGACTCGAGATATGCGGCCATGAACAAGCTGAAGCTGTATGAATATCTCTCCTTGCACCTGCTGCCTAAGTTCGCATAATAGTAAATAAATACGTAGGAGTTAGTCGACTGTTGTGATTGTACCCCAGGAAATAACTGGAAGCCCCCAAAGAATATGTCACACTGCTTGACTTTGTTTATCGTGGGTTGATAATACTCTAAGGGTAATATAAAGAATTTTGTTTTAGCAGTAGTAATTAAATTTTCAAGTATTAATAAAAGTGTATGTGTTATCATATGTGTGAATGTGTGTGTTCTTCGGTGAGAAGCTCAGCGTTGTCTGCCATACGACACACGACCCGACCCATTCACCTACGTATAACACAAAATAGGGCAACAACTAACGGAATACTAGAAAATAGTAAAGTTCATAGCGATAGTGTAGAAGGGGCGGGCATGCAGGAAGCTCTCAACTATGTGGAGGTAACCTTGATCTATTTCACAAGAAAACTACAAAGTGAAAAAAAAATATTTCTCCAAAGTTATTTCACTACTACATCTGCTGCCTCTGTATCTGACTGAAGAAGCCTACTGTGTAGGCTAAAATTTTCAACAATAAAGACACCCAACTGTTGCACATCATCAACTTGTCAATAGTCATATCTATTTTCACCAGGATATACCAGTGTTGAAAGTTTGAAGCTGATGGGAAGAGACTTTCTCAAGGTAACACACTGAAGGCAAAAGAATCTTCTAAAAAAAAAAAAAAAAAACTGGAGAGTGCCTGTACATGCCAACAGCTGCGATGAACTTTTTCTCTGTTGCAACACACAGCCTTGAAAACTTGAAGACGAGTAGGTGAGATGTTCTCAAAGCTATAAAAATTAAATTTCAGAGGAAGAAAAAAATATACAGGAAGCAGTTTCCAGGTAATTCCTTCAGGAATTCCTATAATCATAGCACTGTTTAAAATAAACTGCGATTCCCCTCAAATTTATTCAGAGTAACTTGTGTATTTCCAAAGAAGAAAGTCATTGTAACTCACGAGTCAGAGTCTGATCCAGAAATATAACTCATATTTACGATATTTTCACAAGACTATTATCAATGATTAACATCACTGCTGTTCAAGTAAACGAGGAAATGAGATAAAAATCCATTCTGTTTCCCTTTTTTCTTATAAATCTTTATTTTTTTTAATATGATATACAACGAATAGAGAATTTCAACCTCCTGTGAATGTAAATAATTGTGTAAGAAGCACTGGTTAGTCAAGCTAGTAGGTCACACTGGTGTGCCGTGTTACATAAGAACATAAGAACGAAGGAACACTGCAGAAGGCCTACTGGCCCATGCGAGGCAGGTCCAAGTCTCCTACCGGCTTAAGCCAATGCACCCAACCTAGTCAGGTCAGGTCACATTGACTTAAGGGAGGAACACGGCAACCGACCTGGTAGCACAAGCTATCAGGTCTAACTCACACCCACCCACATCTACTCATGTATTTATCCAACCTATTTTTAAAGCTACACAACGTTCTGGCCTCTATAACGGTACTTGGGAGTTTGTTCCACTCATCCACAACTCTATTACCAAACCAGTACTTTCCTATATCCTTCCTGAATCTGATTTTTTCCAACTTAAAACCATAGTGTTGTGTGTGAGGTTACACCACCAGTCCTCGGTACTCTCCACACACTGCTGTGTTCCCATTAAAGAACAAAAAGGCACAATTCCGTGGCTTGAACAACACACAAATAACCCGCACATAGGAGAGAGAAGCTTACGACGACGTTTCGGTCCGACTTGGACCACTTACAAATGGTATATCTAGTTGCACGAATCTTATTAGAGGCAGCTGGCCGAATAGTTAACGCACAGGCCTGCTAGTTTTAGGACTCATTTGCCATGGGTTCAAGTCTCACCCGTTCAGTGATTTACTTTGTTCTTAGTCGTCACCCCAACAATCACTGTCTGCACACACGCTAAGTGTTGTATTCCTAACAATCAAGAGGCAGAAACAGTGTGTGATCAGCACGTTGGCAGTCTCTGTGCTCGCCAAGCACATTCCTCTCCCTTATGAAAGTAAAACTTTCAACAAACCCAGATTAAAAGATACCTTTTTCTCATTTCCCTAATTGCTTACGCCCCGTCCTCCCCCCTTCATTCCCATCCTAATCCTCCATCAACCGTCTCTTTTATACTCTCGTTTTACCATCCACCTTCCATCTGCTGCCGTCCCACTCACCGTGTTGGGGTTACAACAGTATTCCTCATCAGCTGCCCCAGCCAACGAGTAGGTAACAGTATTTTCTTCATTAGAGAAAGTTTCTTATCATGGCGAGGATGGCGAGTCGC